AGCTCATAGAATGTGTTGCGGATAAATGAATTGAGTTGAAGATGTCGATAGATGGGCGGCACTGGTACACCCTTTGCATGTTCTGTAACGCAAACTCCTCCCACAAACATTTATACAAGTGCAAACACTCCTCCCACAAACATTTATACAAGCGAACATCGACATTCAATCTACGAGTGTTCTAGTATGACGTTATACTGCAGCTTCAAAGACTGGTCTGTTCGTGTAGAGTTCTCCATAGGAAAGCGGTGGTACAACACCAGGGCAAAGCTCATACGTTGCCGATTGACCGTCGCTATTCACCTGAACCGCGACGACAGCACCCGGCGGGAATCTGTGAAATCACAATTTCAATGTGTAACTTCAAGGTTATCAGTACCAATTCTGTTCAGCTACCCTCACCTCAGTCCCAGGCTGACCTGGTCGATTGTTTCTCCTTCTCCCTTGTCAACCAGTGGTATTGACGTAGCTGAAAATACATCATTACCAAAGCTGAGCGAACTCTTTAGCTGAAAATTTGGCACTCAAAACCGACCTATTGAGGCGGCAACCGCAAGAGTGACAGCGTGAGCGACGAAAATCAACGAGTCGTCGCGTTTTTCTTGGCCCAGGGTACGCAGAACAAAATCTGTACGTGCCAAACCATCTCTTTCTGCTTCCTTGTCGTAGTTTTTCGATAACGTCTCCATTGTATATATGGGAGAACTGAAAAGGTGCAAGTGCAGAGGGAAATTCGACGTGTCAGGAGTGCAGGTGTAGCGCAGGTCCGCCGCTCTCCAGGTTAGGACGGGTTAGGAGGGCGGTCATCCAACGCGTTATTGACAAGGAAACGAGGAATTCTGCATCGTCCCATTCTGTGGTGACATGGTAAGACTCGTCATAGACGTGTTATGTGACGTCAATGACGCGCCACCCATACCTATCATATCGGGCGGGTAACGTACTCAACTGCGTAACTGTACTACTCCCTTGCTCAAAGACACTTTTGTACGCACAAAACTCGGCCCTTGCCTTGTGCTGACCGGAGCAGATGTGCACTTTAGTCACTTCTTGACAGCGATCGCCAATGTTAAGCCGGAGAAGGATGTGATAGCTGGGATGCCATATTTAGACCCCGTGGGCCAAAAAAAATATTTTGTGTTTTTTTTGTTTTTTTTCCCCCAGAAGGATGCGCCTCTGGCACTGCGCGACTGCTGAGGTCCTGCCAGCGAACAACAACAGCAAGCTTGCCGTCGCGGTCCGATTGTGAATGGGTCTGAGGAATGTAGCGCGTGCAGAACAAGTTAGCGCATTCGACCACATTTAGCGCCATAGGCCTAGCCTCCGACAACATTGGCGTCTGCTTATCTTGCATGTGGGCGGAGTCCAAAACGGCATCTTGTTGTCTCTACCCACCGGCCTCATTTCCGTGCACTTTCAAGTGACGAAAGTGGAACATTTCTGCAGGTGCGGACCTGTCTACCTCTCATATGACGAGGATGTATCTTGCAGGTGTGTGGAGAGTGTGTCTTTAAGTTCGCATATGATGACTAAAACAACGAAAAGCTTACTAAGAAGTGTCTATTGGGTATGACTTGACCAACTCCCCCAAATGAAATTCTGGCATTTTCTTATTCGTAGCACGATACCACGCAAGAGGTTCCATTAGTCCGGGTTCTATCTGCAATCGGAAGGGTGTCATAATCCGTGTCAAAATGACACCACCCGTATGACTCACAGCTATTTTTGCTTTCAAAAATTTCGCCAATGCTTCAGCAGTCTGGATAGATCGAAGTGCCGGAGAACAGATGAGCCGCTTTGACCTGACACCACGATTGGACAAAGCACGAGCTGTCAAACTGGATGGTTGTATTTGCCTGAACATTTAGGCTTCGTGAACAACAAGTTGTGAGCAGCCTTGTAACCCTCTGAAACTCCTCAGACTTGGTGCCACCTTTAACGTTCCGCGATAGTTTCAACATTTAAGCCTAGGCCTCGCCCAGATAGGTTCAAGGAACGAGTGTGGCAGAGCGGGGGCCCGAAACTTCCGCTCTTTTTGCCAGCTATCTCGGGCGCTGAAGCTGCTCCAGTCTTCCGTGTCCTTCAGAGGAGCGTCTAGCAGACGTTTTACGTGTACTGAAGAGAGGTGCTCTGTAATATCTATCTGTTTTAGATGGCCCACTCATCTTAATTACAAGTGGGCGGGTGTCACTTCGACCCTTGCACTCTTCTCATTGGTGCGCCCCTCTTTGTCATCTTAACAGGAGGGAGCCACCGATTAGGATGGCACACTTCCTTTTAACTTACCGAATGCGGTGATCGGTGGATTTTCGTTGTAGACACCTGTTTCCAAGAAGCTCTTCGAGGCTGGATTGTTTGGAATATTCAGGTCAGTAGGCACCAGCTGAAACTCACTAAATCAGCTGGAAATGATTCAGATATGAACAATGGGCCTAACCATAAGCCGCCTGAGAGTTGGTTACTTTGCTTTAGCACTTAACATTATCTTTTCAACTCCAGGACAATGTGCTGAGTTCGCCATGTGGGAATGAAGCATAGGCTGGACATGTTAAATGGTCCCAGATCCCCACACCCATAATCCCAGCCTCAACCTGTCGTAGGAGTACGGCGGTCTTCGGCCGTACTCCTACGACAGTGATGGGCCTCCTCCCCCTGAAACCGAAGAGACCACGGACAAGGCAACGTTTGTTGGAACCGCTCGGGACAGAATGCAGGAGTCTCAGGGCTCACGAAGAAGCTAGCTAGGACGCATGACGATCTATCAGGGCACAGCATTCGATGGGGATTTTGGTCGAGCTTTTACGACCCCCCCCCCTTTTTTTCAGGGGCTGGTACGGACCCCCCCCCCCATAGGGAATCCCCAATCGAACGCTGTGCCCTGCGATCTATAGTTCTCGCTTGCATCGGATGCTCATAGTGAAGATCTGATGATACACGCTAAGAGGATCAACTACGACTTTACGACTTCATCGGACTGACCAAGACGAGGAGGCATCGCCCGCTTCACGCCGTATACGAGACTGGAGAAGAACTGTTCCCTCGTGAACATTGTGGCAGCAGAGGCGTTGGCGGTGTGGGCGTCCTCGTCAACACGCACTTGGCCATGAACATCGATTCGTACGAAAATCTGACGACCCGAATCGGACGTTTGCGATTTGAGAGAGTGTGCGTTACGGCTGACATTTCTTCGTCGCAACAATAGAGCGCCAACATCAAGCCACGCGAGGATGAGCTTGAAGCGTTCTATATGAAACCAGTTTGGCTAACGCGCAGTACTGCGCGCATGGTTGAACCTATGGTACTGATCAGGGGTTTTTCTGCGGAGCACAACACTTGTCCTAATTCCCATTTTTCGAAATACGGCCCATTTCATCGTATTTTTCCCTTTCAATGAACATTTACCAATGACTGGCGCTTATCACATTTTTGACAACACTCGCCATTCGTTGGAAACATTACAGCCTAGCGGTTGGAAAGTCTCGAGGATAATAACATCGATATCATGGTGAAATGCCCTCACATCCTAGTACATCATTTGAGCAGCTTTCAGGGCTTTTACTTTTTGTTGACACTGCCCAGTTTAGCGGTCGGAATCAAATCCGAGTGTATCGCCAAGGGATAGAAACATAGGAACATGTTGGCTCACTGAACCTTTGCCCACTGATTCGTTGGCCACGGTGATTTGAGAATATACGACTCCTAAAAGCCCTTGTCAGACACTATCAGAACTTATCTCCCACTACTAATTTCCTCTAAATTACTTGCTGGAAGCAATAGTCCAGTAATCCACAACTATGCTGTGAATTTTTGGGGCTATCTTATCAGCCGTTATCTCGTCCTGCCACCCCCCAATAATGTTCCCATCTTGCACTAAACATCCTTGCTTCTTGGAACCAACGTCCTAGCGTCGGTGTGAAGCATGTTATCAGGTTGGTGACCCTTCCTTTCTGAGGCCCATTATATTATCTTATCAGCTGTTATCACTTCCTGCCAGCCATGAATATTGTTCCCATCCTGCCCCCTATCTTACTTCTTGAAACCAACGTCCCGTCGTCGCCGTGGCCGGCGCTATGACTTTGGTGACTCTCCCCTTGTAAGGCTCCTCATGGTATCTTATCAGCCGTTATCACTTCCTGCCACCCACCATGATGTTCCCATCTTGCCCATAATCCTACTTCTTGGAACCAAAGTCCTAGCGTCGCTGTGACGCGCGTTATGGAGATGGTGATCCTTCCCTTCTAAGGCTCCTCATGTTATCTTATCAGCTGTTATCACGTCCTGCCACCCACCAATAATGTTTCCATCCTGCCCCCTATCTTAGTTCTTGGAACCAACGTCCCATCGTCGCTGTGACGCGCGCGTTAAGAAGTTGGCGACCCTCCCCTTCTAAGGCCCCTTATGTTATCTTATCAGCTGTTATCACGTCCTGCCACCTACCAATAGTGTTCCTGCCCGACCTCCTACATCACCTATCAATTTGAGCGCTCCACTGCTGTTTTGAAGTAAGTTATGAATTTCCGGTCAAAACACATACAAACAGACACACAAACATTCACACACATCACACACAACAGACATCTTAGCCGGTTCAACTCCAGCTTTGACAATCTTCGTCGCCTACGCACCAACATCAAGCTACGACGAGGATGAGCTCGAAGCGTTCTATATGGAATTGGAGAAGTTCTACAAGGAAGATCATACCTTCTTCAAGGTCATCGTCGGTGATTTCAACGCTAAGATCGGACCAAGAAGAACGGCTGAAGAACTTCACATCGGAACTCACGTAATAGAATGGAATGAGCAGGGTGAAAGGCTGTCTGAGTTTATCATGTCGACCCATATAATCCATGGTAACCCAACCAGCAGTTCCAGAATCCCTACACCCTACGCTGGACATGGGAGTCTCCTGGTGGACAATTCCATAATGAGATCGACCACATCATCTTCAATCGAAGGTTTTGCCTGACCGATGTCGCTGTTGTTCCTAAGTTCTACACGGGATCCGATCACCGTCTCCTTCGCGCAAGATTCCGCTTTTCGATGCGAGGAGAGAGAGCCGCAAAGTTCAAGAAGCGTGTCTCATTTACCGTCATTCAATTGGGATCACTTCATTCCTTTGGCTGGGCTCTGGGCCGTTGTCGACAACATCGACGAGGAATACGAACGGCTTGTCGCACATCTTCGCGACTGTGCCAAGAAGTCAGAGAGTTTCCAAGAAAACCAAGAGGCGTTTATCTCCGAGACCTCAAGCTGATTCACCAACGTGGAGTCGCACGAGCAACTACCAGCTGACCTCTGAGCTTGCGAAGCTATGCAGAGAAGAGATAACCGAAGACGTCAAAGAGAGAAAAGGCCGCACCGCTGTTGGAAGCTATGGAAAGCATCACGCCAACGAACGCCGCGACTTCGTCAACTGTTAAGTTCAGAGCATGACGCCCCGACGTCCCGACCGCAATAACACTGTCTCGCAAGGGCATCCTTTGACAGCACATTTGATCACCTGCCATCGTGCCACTTGGAGCAGAAGGGATACTTCGTTCTTCCAGTTCTCTCTTCCCGACACACCTCTCGCCGGTGAAGAATCGTACGGCACCCCTGCCGACAGGATCAGCCCAAAATGAATCGTGAGAATCTTCCGGCAGTTCTTCGTCAAAATTCCAGCTCGACTCTTCACGCGCTACTTGTTGCAATGCAAGGTACCCAGTCCGTGAAACACCAGCAAAGACTGTGCAAGTGTACAATCAAGGGAGCAGCTGCAGGATACTGGCAATCATTCGCCCATGCCTGCCCTTGCTGGTTCTGGCTATCTGCAGTCTACAAACTCTTCACACACATCATCCTAAGCCGGATTTGCAGAATGTTTTGTGACAGAAGGCCCTCTGTCTCTGCCCACACGACCGGCGTGTACCGGGAAGCTACAGGGATCGAGTCGTGGTATCCAAAGTATCACAGCCTGACGCCGTTCCTCTCATGAGGTAGTAGTCTAGTAAGTTCGTTGATGCCGCTCGGGGGTTCTTCTCCTGGTAATCCGTCAGAAACGCAGCTAAAGAAATGAAGGCATCTGGCTGCAAAGCAACATCGTAACCTTGATATGCTTCTTTTCACGCTCACTGATATGGAGGAGCATTTTGCAGCCCGACTCTCTGACCGGTCGGTTGACCGACCGCCACACCAATCATATTGGTGATATACAGGGAAGATTCCAGATAAGGATCTTCCAGATAACTGTACTAAACATGAACTCAACGGCCGTCGTGCGGTCGTTCCGTGGTGATACTCAAACTCACTTGAAGTCATGCTCACGAACTCCTACTCTTACCTGTAAATGTTCCTGTTTTTCTCCCAGATAGATCTGACACCATCCCCTTCCCCAGCTCCCACCCAGATTAAACGGGGAACTCACGTATCCGTGTGGTGCTTCAGTGCGGGGCCAATCCGAACCAAACACTCGGTCCACTCTTTCTGCAGAGCGAATGACGGCAATAATGCGATTGGATTCCCTTTTGGAGACGGCACGGGGCCAAAATGAGCACAACATTGGCAGCTGCTGAAAAATGACAACCATCTCACTGAACCGCCACAGGGAAAAGCCAGTAATCTCACATCGCCTTCGGTATCGCTCTTCGATGGGGTCGATGATGGTTTGCTGAGACTTCTCTTCGAATCTTGCTGCGCTTCCTCGGATTTCTTGGACCCCTTCTTGCCCTTCTTCTTGTCTGATTTGTTTGATTCCGATTTACTGCTCCTCTTACTGCTCTTTGATGTGTTAGACTTTTTCGACTTCTTAGTTTTCTTTTTCGATCCACAGACTACTGAACCCTTTTTCTTCTTCTTTTTTCCGTCCTTAGCGCTATTTTGATCACTGCCAGTACCTGTTCCCGTACCCGTAGCTGGATCAGTGCTTTGACTAGCCGACTGGGATTTGCTCCCCTTCTTTTTTGCTTTGGCACTTTTTGAACTCTTCGTCTTTCTGGCCGATTTGTTTTTCTTGCCTTTCTTCCCAGCGGTACTCCTTTTACTTCTGCTTTTCGGGGTCTTTTGACCCTTTTTCGATCCTCCTTTGCTTGATTTTGACTTCGGTTTTCCCTCTTTTGGCTTCTTTCCTCCTTTCCCCTTACTCTTCTTCTTTCCTCCCGCTCCTTCTGCTGGTGTGACAACGGGTGACATCCAATCGTCCGACTGACTTGATTGACTTCCTTTTGATTTTGATTTCGATCGAGACTTCCGAGGCATGGCTGCACAGGCTCTCTGAAAGACCTAAAGCAGTCCCAGTGGGAGGGTAGCCTTCACATCAAAATCAACTAACCAATGAGCAGTAGCAGAAGAGTGGAAATGGTTGAACCTACCGGAAACCACACTTTTATTTAGGTGATATGGCATGATACAAGTCAATATCTGCCCCTTAAACTCTTCATGGAAAGCTACATGAAAGCGTGCTTATTGAGATAGTAGCGGTCTATTCCAAGCAAAGGCGATGAAAATGACGAGGCTAGAAGTTCTATTGGACTGCGTTCATACTTTGCGGCAGCGTCCACCGTCGCAGAGACCATCAGCATTCCATGCGGTCGTCAGCCCTAGCGACTAGAAAAGTATAGATATTGTTCCAGCGAATGGCAGCGTCTGCCAGCTTTTACCCGCGAACAGGAGTACGGTATTTAGCAGCAGTACGGTGCGGTTGCACACGCCACAATTTCATGACGCTTAATCCAGCTATCGCTTACCTCTCGAGGGACTAGAAAAGTATGGCTATCAATCTCTTAGCGTCTTAGCTTCCACCAGCGACCACGAATAGAGGGCATGGGGAGTAGAGGTGTAGCAGAGTGCTGGTAGATTTGGAGAAGTAGGACAGGGCACATCATTGGTTGGGGATTTTAGTCGACTCCGTACGACCCCCCCCTCCTTTCTTTTTTTGGGGGGGGGGGGAGGAACGGGGTGGGTTGGAGGGGGGGGGGGCATATAGTACGCATGAAACAGGAAAATCACCAAAAGTCAACCACCACTCCTACAACGCCAAAACGTAAATACGACCCCCCCCCAACAATGACCAAGTACGACCCCCTCCCCTTACAACGTCCGCGAAGCGAGAAAAATCAACTATGAAAATCAATTTCTCAGCCCAGTACGACCCACCTCTCCTGGGCTTAAAGACCCACCTATTGGGGATTCCCCAACAACGATGTACCCTGAAGTAGGAGGGAAGCGACAGCTGGGTTGAGCGTCATGAAATTGTGGCGTGTGCAACCGCACCGTACTGCTGCAAAATACCGTTCTCTAGAAGTTAGATACCTTCGTACTTTCCTAATCCCTCGAGACGCGAATTTTTGCAAGTAGACGCTGCTAGGCGCTGCCGTTCGCTTCGATATCTATACTTTCCTAGTTGCTGAGGCTGACGGACGCGCGAGAAGTTGATGGTCACTGGTGGTCGCTGGTGGACGCTGCTGCAAGGTATTAAGGCAGCCTTAGAGTTCCTGTGTCTTTCTTTTCTTCAAAACGACGTTGCGATTTTTGACGCATGATAGAAAATTGCGTAAAAGTGTGCAAGGTGACAAGAAAAAATGAACGAGGACCATATGAAAGCGATCAGCTCACTGATGGTGGTCCTGCCCATTGGCGAACAAATGTGTCTGCAACCGCAGTTGCGTGCCACTTTCTCCGCTCAGAAGTGTAGGGGAGCAATGGTGGACGCTACGGATGGCCTGGTGCCGTCTCTTCTCGTTTTACCCCTCTGTGCAACACTCTCGATGTGCGGCACTTGCGACTATACAGAAATCCAGCTATGAAAAGTGTGGCAGAGCAGAAAGTGTATGGAGACAGCACCAGGATGACGCTACCCCAACCCCGTTCCCATGTCCTTTTCAGAGGAGAATGTGACATGCAATCGCTGCGGATGAACCACTGCACCTCGCACTTGTTGAGATGAGAATTCACAGCGACGTACAGTGCAGAGTTTGTCCTCAAGCGATGGACTGAATACTGTAGATGAGTACCGCACAATGGTCGCCCCTCATCCTAGAAGCCAAGTCCATCGGCTGAAAGGAATCCCACCGGGCGCAGTTCAGAGACGTGGGAGGGGGGGGGCATTTTGCACTTTCATTGCTCCACCAATTCCGGTTTGCATACTTTGGCTGATGAAACCTGTGAACTCCTGTGAAGCTGGAGCAAGCTCATCGAGCCACAAACCTGTCAACTCACGAAAAGGCTCTCTGGATGGGTCAACATGTTGATGGGAAGTGGCAAAAGTGTGAAATGCCCTATTGGCGAAATTTGGGAAGGTACAATGGTGGCCATTGTCGACGAACTGGAGGGATAGTGAGCCTATTCCAACGGTGTGCCCGAAACATTCGAGAATATATATTTCTCTTTTGAAGAGGACAAT